TCTCAATAAATAAATAAAATAAAATAGAAGGTGTATAAACAGATGTATGTTTTGGACTAGATTCCTTGAACCATGCATGGCTGAATAGCAAACACTTCAAGTCTTTATGCCCCATGGCAGAAGACTTAGGATGGATTGAAAGAGAATAGAATTTCTACCTTTCCTATCTCTTTTCATAGCCCACCCATCAGGATAATCAGTAAAAAATATTTTCTGGAATGGAAGAATAGAGCTACTCAATTTATCTGACAAATAAAAGAGAAGCAGCCAATATAAACATACTTTGCTATTTTTAAGAAAATAACATTCAGAATAGAAGAGAAAATGAAAGTGCATATACATTTTGTATTTGCAGCACTGCTAAATAGTTGCCATAGGATTCCAGCTATTGACAGGCAGATCTTTATTAGTCAATAGGTAATGTTTTTTAGAAAACGCTTTCAAATAAATTGGCTCATAATGATAGCACTCAGAGGAAACAGGAGGTTTATAGAGCACTTCTTACCCATTGGGAATATTTTGAAGGACTGAATGGATGTGTGGAGAGGTGAAGTTTCACTATATCATCATCAATAAGGCTTAAGAAGCTATTGGATCTTTATTTTACAAGACAAAAAGTCAAGAGGAATTAGGAAAGGTGGGTTTTCTGCAGAGAGTACAAAATATCAGGCACCTATTTCTGGATTTTAGGATTTTCCTTCCATATTATTCTTTAATGTTTCTGAAATCATATTTCTTCTTTCTTTCCTTCATTAGTTTTTTTCTTCCTTCTTTCTTTCCATTCTCCACTTTGTCATCCCTCCCACATCAAAATGATTTTACTCATTGCTTTTAGCATACAATCTTCCTTGCTTCAATGTATTTTCAATTTCATCTTAATTATGTATATGATCCTATGAGGGCAGAGATTGTACTATATGTTCTCAGTACAGAGCATACTGCTTGGCACATTGGTGACATGTGGCAAAGCAACTGTTAGGCAGACAATTCTAGGAAACAATTCTCTAAAGCAAGAATCTGAAAACCCATATGTATTTTACATACCCTACCAAAATCTGGATTCTAAGGAGTGATGTTAACTCAGGAGGAGGGGCAGGGGAAGGGAGGGATGTGAGCTTCCATCTGGGATCCCATCAGCCTGCTTCTGGGGATTACATCTCCATGATCAGTTCTTGTCCGTCATTTTCATCTGCATGAACTTCTTTTTTTATAACTGGAATCTCAGAATTCAACTCTCCTTCTTCCATGGAAAAATCCACACATTTATCTGGGAATTGTGCAGAATAATAGTACTTTATAATAATAGGAAGAACATTGGCCTGATGTCATAAGCTTTGAGTTCTAGTCCCAGTAGGTCACTTTATGTTCTCTGTGACTTTGGTCCAGTTTTCTTAGCTGTAAAGTGTATCAACTGATGTCCATATTATAGCATTATTGTTACAATTAAATAATAGGATACCTCTTAACATTTTAGCACAGAACTTGGCACAACGTAGAAACCCTTCATTTTGACAATTATTGTTTCAATTTTGTCTTATTTTCTTTGCTTGTCTAACCTTTAGACACTTACGCTTTCTTTGATGTTCTTTTTGTCAAGTTTATATCCAGTAAAAACTGCCTATATTTCTGTAACTTTTTGCAAAGTAGGAATTTTAAATTGGCATTATTAAATATAACAGTATCACAATTTGGAGAAGAAAATAATACTTACCTAGGAGAAAATAATCTCCATGTAACATTTTACCTGGGATGCCCTCTTTGGGAGGATAGGTGTGGTCTTTGAGATCTGCTTGACTCCATTGTAATATACTTAAGAGACCACTGCCAGATGTTACTCCATAGGTGCCTATTAGAAGCATTTGGGGAACTTTAAAAATAATCTGGTTCTTGAACCCTCCTTCACATCAATTAACCGAGAATTTCGGGGCATGGCCATCAGTAATGATAATTCATTTTTTATTAATTTTTCAAATGACTTCTCAGGTAACTCTAATAGGGTGCATGGCAAAGAACCACTAATATAAATAAATGTTTCTCAATATGTAGTAAATTTACAATATTACTTAGAATTACCTGCAGACAATTAATAAAGACTATGAATTCTTGGCACTAGCAAAACTCACTGGATTATAATTTCTGAGAGGGGATTCAGGGACCAATATTTTTACAAGCATCTTAGTTAATGCATAGGTACCACGAAGTTTGGTAGCTAGTATTCTAAGGTTCCCGAAATTGCAGGCTCTATCAGACTTGTAACACCTGATTTATTAGCACCTCATTTATTCTGTATTGCTATAACAGAATAGCACAGACTAGGTAGTTTATAAATATCAAAAATGGATTTATCATCATTCTGGAGGCTGGGAAGTCTAAGATCAAGGTGCTGGAATGTGGTGAAGAGATTGTTGCTGCATCTCCACATGGGGAGGAATGCTATGACTTCACATGACGGAAGGTGGCAGGGCAAGCCAGAAAAATGCTATGGAAAGCCTCTTCTTTCGGGGCCTTGATTTCATTCACAAGGAAGAGCCCTCACGACCTAATCACCTCTTAAAGTCCTCAGCTCTTAATATAATAATATTGGTAACATACACATTTTTTAAATTCATTATTTCTTTATTTTTTATTTTTACCAAGATGAGGTCTCATTGTGTTGCTCAGGCTGATCTTGAACTCCCGGGCTTGAGTGATCCCTCTGCCTCAGCTTCTGAAACTGTGGATATAACTGAAACTTCTGAAACTGTTAGCCATAATGCCTGACCTTTTAAAAAATTATCTTCTCTTTTTTTAGTTTTAATTTTTTAAAATTTGTTGTACAAACACTGTTCTTGCTACAGGCTGGGAGCATGTAGATTTTGGAGGGAATGTATTCGATCTATAGCAAAACCTCTGATTGGCTGTTTATTAAGCATAGAGCTTCCTTTTATTTCTGAACTCAACTTTTCTGGTCTTTTCATGAGGGAGAACACAAGACAGTTTTTTTCAGGGGCATTGGAAGGTTTTTCCACTATGTTAGGAACCAATTTCCTTAATCTACCTACTTTGAAATTTATGGGAGATTCTGCAAGTATCAGTCAAGTTTCCTAATGCAGATACTTGTGACTTAACTTCTCCAAAGCTCAGTTTTCTTATCTGTAAAGTACCATCCTTTAAGACTTGCAGGGAAGATGGAACAAAATAAGTGTTCAAAGGTCTCAGCACACAGGACATTCTCAAAAAATGTTAATAATAGTCTTCTTTTATAATAATTCCAGTTGTTCTTTAATTCCCTTAATTAAAAAGCAAAAATAAGATTTACCAAAAAGAACAAGTTACATACTGTGAACAGAATGTAGTCACTTTACAAAACAGCTCTTACGTATAAATATATACATACATGTATATTATACTGCCATATGTTTAAAGATCAATGTATTCATAATTTTATGTACATATGACTATAGGTAGTTTATTTTTAAGTAGTATTACACATATTTATATCAATGATATTAAGAAGAGTAGAGTGAAAATCACACCAATTAAAAATCTCTCCATTACTGGGGTATTTGTAAAAGCCAGGTGTAGAGACAGACTATCACATTTAGATACATTCAACGATGAATGAGATAATAAATGAACAAGAGATGGCTTCAATTTTACTGTGTTAGGATTTGAGCTGAATTACTCTTAACTATGAGATCTTAGAAAATTTACCCAAATACTCTCTGGCTCTGTTTCCTCCTCTGTAGATAGATTGTAATGATTGATTTATCAAATCATGTTGTGAGATGTAAGTAACATAATGTGTAATGCATTTTGGAGGGGACAGATTCAACTATAGCAACATAAGGCACAATGCAGTACTTGGCTAAGTTTTACAGAAAACGTCTTAAGTGCCAGGCACTCAGTTCCTATTAGGAAAGCACTTCACAGTCTCTATGGTGTAGAGAAAATACTAACAAAGTGTTATCAGCTGAATAGTATCTTCCTCAAATTCATACGTGGAAGCCCTAACCCCCTGCACCTCAGAATGTGATTGCATTTAGAAATGAGGCCTTTAAAGAGTTGATGAATTTAAATTAAAGACAGTAGGGTTGGCCCTAATCTAATATGACTTGCTTCCTATAAGGAGATTTTGACATACAAGAGACACCAGGAAGGGGAGCACACAGAGGAAAGACCATGTGAAGACACAGTTAGAGGGCAGCCATCTGCAAGCCAAGAAGAGAGACCTCAAAAGAAACCAGATCTGCCAACATCTTGATCTTAGACTTCCCGCCCCCAGAAGTGTGAGCAACAAAAACAATGACGTGGATTAAGTCACCTAGTCTGTGGTAGTTTGTTATGGTGGCCCTAACAAACTAATATGTACAGTAACTAAATTAAAAAAAAATGAATGATGGAGGATGGGTACCAGAAATAAACTTATTTATTTATTTATTTATTTGTTTGTTTGTTTGTTTGTTTGTTTGTTTGTTGAGATGGAGTTTCACTGTCGCCAGGCTGGAGTGCAGAGGCATGATCTCAGCTCACTGCAGTCTTTGCCTCCTGGGTTCAAGCAATTCTCTTGCCTCAGCCTCCTGAGTAGCTGGGACTACAGGTGTGTGCCACCGTGCCCAGCTAATTTTTTTTTGTTTTAGTAGAGGCAGGGTTTCACCATGTTGGTCAGGATAGTGTCAATCTCCAGACCTTGCGATCCGCCCATCTTGACCTCTGAAAATGCTAGGATGACAGGCGTGAGCCACTGAGCCTGACCTATTCTCTTTTTTGTTAACCACTGTTTGTTCCAACAAACTCTCCTATCTCCCTCCCTCAATCATGGATACAGAATCAAGCCAATGCATTGTCTTTTGTTTTTGACATTTTTTGGCATTAAAACATTCTCATACATATTTAAATGTCCGATTCTGTGGAATATAAAAACTCCATTCTTTCACCATTTTAAAAAATATTTGCTCCCCCAACCCAGCTGAGTCTCCACAATCATTAGGCCAGCTTTGTGTAGGTGGAGTCTGAGAAGCTCTTTTACTCTTCCTTCTCTTTTCTTTCTGCTCCTTCCCTCTTACTAAATTTATGGTTCAGGGTCCTACAGAAGTCAGGGAAAAGGGGATGGGTAGAAGAGAAAAAGGTTGGGGGATGATTTCACTTAGAAGAGTTTTACTGTTCTCTTGTTTGTTAAATATGCTGACGCAAACCCCACAGCTAGTCCCCTCCTGCCACAGAGCCTCTACTGCCACCTGAGGCCGGCACTGCCATCTCTTATTGACCTCCTGCAATCCTCTTACAGCTCCTGCTCCAATGATTGTCTCCGGTGGAATCATCCAGGGAACTTCAGCTGGAGATCCCTTTCATGCTGCCTACTTGTCTCATTCTTGTCATGCGGATCCCTGGCAAATGCATCAGCTTTCTCCACTCCACTAGCTGTCCTGTGACAATCCTGTGAGTTCCTGAAACTCAGCTCTCCTTCTTCTATGGCTGAGTTTCTAGTTTCCAGTGCTGCCAGGCAGCTCCACTCTCCAACGGAAGTTACTCTCTTTGAGCCCAACTCTCTTGCCTTGATTAGAAATACCTGGGAACACAGAGCCCTCTCTTTGGCCTAAAGCTTTACAAAGCCATCTCTGATGTCTGCCAATAGTTCTCTAAGCTATTCTCACCTACAATCTGGAAATTGGCTTTGGTCTGGGATTCTGTACTGATGGTACAGTATATCGGTTCTGCAGTGGCTCGTAGGGGTTCCGTACTGATGGTGCAATACCATTTTGTGTTTTGGAGTACTTGTTATTCGATGCTTTCAGGTGAAGCTTCACCTGCTATTTGGAGAGAACAAGGAAGTGCCTGTTAGCATCCTTTTATACTCTCTGTGAACATGATGAAGAACTAACAGAGTTCTCAGCCTCTAGGCTTGTGCGTCTCTCTGTCCTGTCACAGGACTTTGCAATGTGTGGATTTTAAAAGCTCAAGAAGGCCAGGTAATTACAAAAATAATTTGTAACATATTTCTTTTCTTTATGCCCATAAAGAGGACAGAAGTTCTTTGGATTTTGCACACTAACAGAAAGATTGTCTGAGTACAAATAAGTGAGATATTTCCCCTTATTAATTCTATTTTGTAAGTGTCCACAGATGCAATATAGATGCGTGAAATGAAAAACACACATTACTCATATACTTGCAACATATACAATGTTAAAAGTGCTCAATTATTATCTTAGACTAAGATGTATTTGTTTATTTTCTAATGGTGTCTCACATTTCCCAGGAATATGGGTCTAATTTACATAGTATAAAGAATGGTATTTGAAAATTTTCTGCTGATTTTGATCACAACGACTTCAGGCAATGATTCCTTTTGCAGACTCCAGACGTAAAATGTAACCTATGAAGAAAACTCAGCTAGTCATACTTTTTATTAGATAGTTCAGGAAAGTAATTTCTTAGACACTAGTGTTCTGGGTTATCATAGTATCATATCTGGAGACTCACCGGAACTCTCCCTTTACAAGACTCTAAGCCCGTATTGTCTTCATCATCACCCACAGCATTCTAAGAGAGAGAGATATGGGGTGTCAATATCATGTTTCACATTTAGTTCTTGGGTATAGTTGGACCCCCTGTCTGCAGTGCTCAAATTCTGAAACTCTGAGCTCCCCATTGTCAAAAGAGGAATATATGTGTTTCCTTAGAGAACCGTGCAAACTTTCGCATCTCTCACTTACTACTCTACTCCTTTTTTTTTCCAGAGAAAGAGTCTCACTCTGTCACCCAAGCTGGGGTGCTGTGGTATAGTCAGAGGAGTTGGAGTTACAGGCTCCAACTCCTGGGCTCAAGGGATCCTCCTGTCTCAGCCACTCAGGTAGCTAGGAGCACACACATGTCCCACCACACCCGGAAATTTTTCAAGTTTTTGTAGAGATGAGGCCCTGCTATGTTTCCCATGTTGGTCTTGAACTGCTAGACTCAAATGATCCTCCTGCCACCGCACTCAGCTTCTCTCTGGCACACTCTTGCTCTAGCTCCCACTTTTTAATGCATCCAATAACATCAGTGCCATACTTACAGTGATTAGAAATCACAGTTAAACAGAGATGCATAACGTGACGGAAAGACTATATGACTTGAATCAGAACAGTTTCTCAGGGCTGCACCATTTATTTACTGAGCAAACTAGATGAGATCTTTCACTTTCTGGAGTCCGTTTTCTCTCCTGTAAAGTGGACTTGCTAGTACCTCCCAGGAAGGTTGTAAGGATGAAGTAAATTTGGAGATGAAAAAGGCCATGAAGTTCCTTGCTGGCCTGCCATTCTTCTACTGAAGATTCTGAAATTTCAAAGCTTGAAGAAGATGAAAGGAGCCATACCAGAGGAGGCTGAGGGATGTTGCATGTCTGTGCGGTGCCTTAGTGGCCATGCATTGTGTGACTAGACTGCAGTGGCTACAGATCCTGAGGAACACATGGGGACATAAGATGTCAACTGAAGGAGTCAGCATAGATTCAATGCTTGCTCTGTGCCAGATGCTGTGACTCTTATGGCATTCTGTAGCTGATTTAATTCTCACAACAAAGATACACATTATTATTATTTTTCTCTTTGCAGAGGGTGTTACTGCACACAAGGAGATAAATAACTTGCCAAGAGTCAGACAGAAAATAAACTGCAGCGGATCTTGGATTAACACCCTTATCAGAGTGAATTTAGATCTGTGTGCTTTTGAAATGCTCTAATGGAGGAGTATGGTGGCTCACACTTGTCATCTCAGCACTTTGGGAGGCCAAGGAGGGTGGATCAGCTGAGGTCAGGAGTTAGAGACTAGCCTGGTCAACATAGTGAAACCCCGTCTCTACTAAAAAATACAAATATTAGCTGGGTGTGGTGGCGGGCACCTATAGTCTAAGCTACTCGGGAGGCTGAGACAGGAGAATCACTTGAACCCAAGAGGTGGAGGTTGCAGTGAGCCGAGATCATGCCACTGCACTCCAGCCTAGGCGACAGGGTAAGACTCTGTCTCGAAAAAAAAAAAAAAAAAAAAAAAAAGGGAAAAAGAAAGGGAAAGAAAATAAATGCTTTATCGTCTATCGTCAGTTTTGTCTGTTAGTCCCTCCTTACTCTCTGGCATAACAAGATGCTGCAGCCTCATTTTTTATATTCTCCTCCACAGGCCTGGACTTTGACATCCTGATCCATACTACACAGCTGCCTTTGACGTGACACAGATGCCTACCTGACCAGTCTCATCTGAATTACTAGGAGGAAAAGAGAAGGGAAGAAAGAGAAGAAGAAGAGGAGAATGTACAGAATTTCAGTAGTTTCATGGGGTGCTGTGGTACAGTCAGAGGAGTTGGAGTTGCACCCCCTCTTACAACTGGAAAAGAAAATTTTGGGCAAACATTGCAGCATGAAGGTCAGACAGGTCATGGTGTGTTAAAAATCCCTCTTCTATCACATTAAATATTTAGACAGTGTAAGTTGGCTCAGTAGCAGGAATTGTGGCTAGAGAGGTAGGCTGGCCACAATCTGTGAAGGACGGTGAGTTTCTATCATGTAGAGAAGCTGTGTCTGCTGCATTGGGTGCTCAGTAAATATTTAATTAATGAATTTTGAATGGATGCTATATATCAACCATTATCAGTAAGGAGTGGCCTGGAGAGAGATAGAGCCAAATTAGAAACATGATTTCGTTCCAGAGCAAATTTCCTCACCTTGGAAACTGGAAAACAAATTATTCTTTAAGCTTTGTCTCCTACCTTTTGGGAATCATTCCTACTTCCTGCCATCTTTTAAGTTAGATGCTCACCAACCTTTCTTCCTACAATACTTTACACATATTTGTGTCTCTACACTGAAACATTGTTTTATATACAAAATGTGATACAGAAAACATCTGCAAATACTTTAAGCCAATATGTAAGGGGGTGCTTTTTAAATATTGTGGTTTTATCTCTAGTTATTGAGTTTTTATGGAACAAACTAGCTTTGATCTTAAGCACAGGGGTGGGAGTGTTGTGCATTGATTTAGCCAATAAGAGGCACAAAGTAAGCAAGCCAGAGGACAGTGGTACAGAGATGGAGTGGTCAGAAACCGCTCTCATTCTAAGAGACTCATTTTTCTAATGTGATAATTGCTATTTATTTTATAGGCTTGCACATGACATATCACCACCACTGAAACTGCTTCTAATTCTGCTTTTATTATTAACCTCACTTTTCAATTCTTTATCGACCTTGGGCAAGACTATTTTCCTCTTCATAGCATCAATAGAAAAGCTAGTTCAAGTTTGCTTTAAAAGGAATTAATCTCAAAGCTATTTCAACATTTTAAAAGGACTTCATATGAGAATGTTAATAGCTGCTATTAGGCTTGGAATCAGTCCTTCCCTAAGAGGGAAACAAAAGTCCAGGTTTAGTGTCATTTTATCAGAGAAACTAATAGGATGGCTGTAAAAAGTTGTCATAGAGCAGCTTGATGCAGTAGAAAAATCCGACAGAGACCAGCATGCCCAGCTATTGCATTTTCTAGCGGTGTGAACTTAGATAAATAGCTAAACCTCTCTGTATCTTGGTTTCTTCATCTGCAAGATGTAACTACATTTTATTTATTGTTTTATGTCAGTTTCCTGAACCTATTCTCTGAAACATTTAAAAGGAAGGAAGGAAGGAAGGAGGGAAGGAAGGAAGGAAGGAAGGAAGGAAGGAAGGAAGGAAGGAAGGAAGGAAGGAAGGAAGGGAAGGGAAGGGAAGGGAAGGGAAGGGAAGGGAAGGGAAGGGAAGGGAAGGGAAGGGAAGGGAAGGGAAGGGAGGAAGGAAGGAAGGAAGGAAGGAAGGAAGGAAGGAAGGAAGGAAGGAAGGAAGGGAAGGAAGGAAGGAAGGAAATGTAGGAGGAAGGGAGCGAGAGAGGGAGCAAAGGAGGGAAGTAAAAATTAACAAAAGACAGACACTGAGATGGAGAGAATGAAGAATGGCATATGTAGTGTGACAACGATGCATATTATTTAGAGACAGAAACAAAATATGTTAAATTAGGATTTATTAGCAATATCTGAGACTCTTTACCACCACACTCTTGACTTACATTCAAGTTTCATGTTTTGGGCTCCCTAACACATGGCTTGTCAAGTTTTTCTGGAGACAGGCATAAAAGAAGGAGAGAGAACATTGAGTGCCTGCAATGTTCAAAGCAAGAAGTAAAGAAGTACAGTTAAATTTAACTATCACAACAATCTTATGAAGGGCCTTTTCAGTCTCCAGTGTTGCAAAGTGGAACTCAAGGTTAACAGAGTTGATGTAAAATAGCTGGGGTTACAGGGTGGGTAAAAGAGAAATCCATGATTGTAACCCAACTTGGTCTCTAAGGTTGCAAAGGAACTACTATAGGATTTTGTGCTGTATTTCCCAAGAGTCCAGAATATTAAAAAAAAAAAATTTAATACGTCATGACAATAGGTCCTTTCAAAATCCCATAATAATGTGTAGTAGACAAGAGTATAGAAATTGTTTTAAAGTGTCTTATGAAAGAAATGCTCCTCATTCTTGCTTAGGCTTCTTTCACATGAAACCACTTGCAGAAAATTTATAGATCAAGTGACATTCTAGGCAATTAAGGCCTCATACAGCCTAGAAATGATGCAATAGTTTTCAAAAATAATTTCCACTGTGGCAGAAATGCAAATTGATTGAAGTCACTCAAATGTCACTCAAAAAGTTTGCTAGTCTTTTTAAGAATGACATTAAGCAGTGACAGACAATTGACGAGGACAGACACTTCAACAGAGGTTGACGGAGGGACGGTGATGCTTCAAGAAGCAAAAAAGTGATCCAGTGAGAAATATGCATAATGAGTGATTGTTTTCTTTCCATTCTTTTTCTTTCTGTATTTTTAAATATGGGTGTCAACATATTCTTTTCTAATTTTTTAAAATACAAAAACCTGATTTATATTTGTCTTTTAGGAACTCAAATAGTAATTACTGGGTCTTGCATTTTAGCAAAAATTAAATGCCCCTTAATTAAATAAAACAGAGTTTACAAAATAGAACATATGGTGCCATCTGCAGAATAGTGCTTAGAATTTGGGGAAAATGTGAAGATGACTGCATTTTTTTGCATCTACTACATGCTCAAAATAAGGAGCTTAGAGCTGTTTTTTTTTTTTTCTTGAAAGCTCTGAAGTTGGAAAATTTCTGACTGGCTTCTCATTATAAAACCAAATGAGCATGAATAATGTTGTGACCAGATACTATTAGAACCTGAGACCTAGATAGAAAATTCTTCTGGTAAATTTTATAAGCAAGAAACCTGAGGTGCAGATGGGCAAAGAGGGTTACCATCTTTCTTTAGTGAGTAAATGTCAGAACTCAAACTAAAACTCAAACTCTTTTCATTCTGCTCCACATCACTGCTACTCATTGAAGAGATGCAAAGTCCCTCTGATCAGTTTCTGAGCTCCACTGTGGAGAAAGAGCAGTAGTTTAAATGACTGTAATACATGTAATTCAATTGATTTCATTGCGATACATTGAATCCACTTCACTTCAATATAGCTGATATTTGTTGTCCATTCTCTATGTGCCAGTAACTTTTCTGGGATACATAAAGGAAAATAAGTTAACCTCCTGCCTTTATCAGAGTTTATTATCTAAACAATTCATGCTATTGTTTTATAATTATTTCTTCTAGAACCTCCGCTGTTAGAATTATCTTCAAAAAATGTACTATGATAAAAATAAAATGCTTCAAAGCCAGCAAATGTTCAACAGGATTTCTGTTTTACATACTATAGTGAGCTGTACGGCAAGAGTGGTCAAATAAGATGAACAGTGTCTCTTTCACCTCTACATCCCATAATCTATTCTGAAGAGAGGGTTCATCAGCCATGAATTTATGAATCATACAAGATGATTAATTTTCCTTCCTCTCTTATGAAGACCTGATTGGGAAATCAGGAGAAGTACCTTTCAAAAAAAGGGTAAACATCCTGCTCACCCTTCAGAAGTATTCAAGAAAATGTCAGTATTCCAGTGTAAAATAAAATCCAGGCAAAAAATTGGTTTTTGAAATTCTAGGTCTTGATATTCTATAGTGAAAATAATAAGGAAGTAAAGAAGTTCCATGGTTAAGCTTTCAAAATTTTATACCTTGGACATATATTTCCCTGATTAGTAAGGAACAAGAAGGCGAAGGAGTGTTAGTGTTCATGGAAAATTTTCTTTCATCGCTATCCACCACCATTTTGATTGAGAGTATAAAGAAGATCTTTAGTCTTTAGGAAAATCACACAAGAAAGATTACACACTAATATGAGCTCCTGTTTCGGGTACTTTCCCTTGTCTACCTCACAACTTTCTGGGAGAAAGTACTCAATAAAAGTGGGCTTTGAAGATAGAGGTCAGGGTTCCAATCTCAGGTTTCCTAGTTACCAGCTGTGTGACCCTGGGAAAGTCACTTCTGTGGATCTGTTTTATTAGCTGGCAAATAGTAGATAGTATTTCTTAGAGATATTTTTTGACTCCTAAATAAAGAAACAGCCTGAGAACAGTGCAAATGACTGAAATTAAGGCTACTTTAGAAAATCTAAAAAGATAATAATATACGTATTATACATTGCTCTAATATTTGTGAACTTAATAATCATATAGTTATTTATAAAAATATGAACAGTCTGTGATTAGCAAAGAAACAGAAATCATAAAGCACTTTGCTCAAGATCAGAGTTAAAAGTATAATTTCCAGAGCAGGAGTCTAAATCTTGGCCCCACCATTTGCAAACCATGTGGCCTTGGATGAGTTACCACATCTTAAAGATCAGTATTTACATATATATAAAATATATAGACATATACACAATTTATTCACAGAAAATCTGAATAGTGTTTGCACCTACTTTAGAAGGGTATTGTGAATGCTGACAAAGAAATACAAATGCATTGAGAATAATGACTGGCACACAGTGATTAAAAAGAGTTATTATTATTATTAATAATCTTTGCTCATATCCCGATGTATACTAATCAGTGGTTTACTGGTGCTCATCAAGTTTGCTATCTCTTAGGAAAAGTATTATTATTGTTGTTTTCAATTTTTTTTTAAATTTTGTATTTAGGTGATACATAATCAGGTTTGTTCATAGATAGATTGCATAATACTGGGGTTTGGGGTTCTAGTGTCCACGTCACCCAAATAGTGAGCATTGTACCAAACAGGTAATCTGTCAGCCTTCACCCTATTCCCACCCTTCCCCTTTTGGAGCCTCCAGCATCTATTGTTTCTATCTTTATGTTGGTGTGTACCCACTAGTATTTGATTTTATTTCTGTGTTACTTCACTTGAACTTTGCCCCCCACACCCCTTAACAGTGTCCCTAGCAAACAGTAAGATCTAGTAAGTATTTGTTTGATGATTAAACAATGAGATGTCAGCAAAAGGAACAATATTTAACCTAGTTTTTCTCTCACCAGTAACTTTGCAATTAGTTTGCATTACATTACTATATTTAGAATGCCTGCATATTAAGAGCAAAATGCTAGCTTTAATGCCCTGGAGTGAATCATTTTCTCTTCAACCTTCTTAATTTACTGAATCAAATGAATGGATTGGATAAACACAAGAGTTTTTTGAGAAACCTCTGCTGAAAACTCAATTATAGGTTATTGGGCTTTTAATTTTATTTAAGTGTTTAGATTTTGAATGTTAAACTTATTTGTGAAAATCATTCTCTCTTAAGACCTTTTAAATATGTCACCATTTTGCATAGATGGATCTCACAGTTTCATTACAAGTGAAAAATAATATAATCCATTTATATATATGGTCAAGTTTTAGTCCAATAGCTTTTACCAGAATTGTGAAAATTCATTGAATTCACTTTTCTTTAAATTGCAGCTTGTCTCCCAAACTCTGTCCTGACAAAAATAGAAACTCACTTTAGGTGCAAAATAAAATTATTACTAGCCATTCTGTTGCATGCTATTTAAATTGGTATACAACTATGCATTTTTGTCAAGTTCCAACAAATAATAGAGTCCAATTAGTGTGACCAATGTGAGTTGTCTGCCTGTGACTTCTCTGCTTTTAGTATTAAAATTCTTAAATTTAGAGAAACCCCTCATCCCTGGGCAAATCATAGTAGCTGGTAACCCTAAATGAAATGAAAGAAAATGGGAGTATTTAGAACAGTGATTTTTAATTAGGGATGTTTTGCCCCCAGGTAGACACTTAACAATACCTACAGGCATTGTTGGTTGTCATGACTTTGGAGGAGTAGCTGCTACTGCCATCTGTGAGGCAGAGACCAGGGATAGTGCTAAATACCTTACAAGGTATTAGCATAGCATAGTATACACCTTACAGGGTCCACAACGAAGAACTATCTGATCCAAAACATTAATCGTGCCACTCAAGAAACCTTCGTGGGAGCATTTAAAATGCTTCTTTGATGCTCTAGAAGGTTTTTGCTTCCTTGAAGTTTAGTTCTATCCATTTTTCTTTTCTTTTTCTTTCTTTTTTTTTTTTTTTAAAGACAGAGTCTCACCTGGGAGCCAGGCTGGAGTGCAGTGGTGCAATCTGGGCTCACTGCAGCCTCTGCCTCCCAGGTTCAAATGATTCTCCTGCCTCAGCCTCCTAGGTAGGTGGGACTACAGGTGCCCGCTACCACACCCAGCTAACTTTTGTGTTTTTATTAGA